TAGGTTGAGCATTTACACTGTCTGTTTGATTCTGACCAATCTTCTTAGATGCTTCCAAAGTATCTAGATTGTCAGTTTTTTCAGGTTGACATTGTTGCTCGTCCTCTCGAACTTCGTCGAGTTTGATTTTCCTCCCACTTGTCATTCATTTACCGCTGTATGGTTTCGTGGTGACCCGACACTACGCGGAAGGAAACCCACCAAGACTTGCCCCTTAATTAAAACAATTAACAAGCATATTAAACTTAATCAAACAAGATTAAGAACAAGAATTATACCTTTGTCGCGTGCTTCGCTCCCAAAGAGCTCTTACATCAAAATCCCGAAAACACGAGATCTCTGACGGATCGTACCCTTGACCCGACCCGAGCGTCCTAAGTCTTGAAGGTTAGTCAAGACCCGGAAAAAATAACTATGAGTTTTACGAATCAAAGGTTTACTCTTACTTAGAGTTGTCTTTTTAATTCCACTCAAGGTTGCTCATTTCCCAATACCCAAGCTTGGTATTTATAGGGAAATGAGCCCTTGACTTTTCATCCTCCACCAGTGTGGGAGTGTTGAAATATAATGATTTATTTAATTTCCAAATTAAATAAATAATCAAGTTAATCACATTTTGACAAGTGGCATGATCACATGCAAAAGAGTGGTGGCCAAGTTTAGGTGGGGGACCATATGTCTTGCTCCCCAAGGCCTTGATTTGGTCCCCACATCCCATGCACAAAACCGAGTCAAGCAAGGCTAGCTGGCTGCCAGCTAGGCCTACCAGCTAGCACTGCCTTGCTGCCCAGCACCCCAGCCAGCCAGCCAGCCAGTGCGTGCTGCTGTTGGGCTGGTGCTGGTGCTGTGTGCTGGCGCTGGGCGCTGCTAGCACATAGTGCTGACACTGGCCCCCAGCATCCCACGCACAGGCTAGCACGCACACTTACCTTGCCCACCATTGCTAGCACAGCCAGCATGCGTGCTGCTAGCGAGCCACGCATGCTGGCCCCTTCCTTCGCATCGTGCTACGCACCACGCAACACTCGCACACGCATCAGCCAGTGCCTAGCACCGCTATGCTTGGTGCGAGGCACGCACACACGCACATGCACATGCGCTAGTGCCTAGCACTGCGATGGTTGTGCTTGGTGCGTGTGTGGCCTTGCCATACGCACCCAGGCTAGCACGCTGCTAACTACGATGGGCTGCCTGGTGCTTGTGGTGCTTGCGATAGGCTGCTATGCGCACCCAGGCTAGCACGCTGCTAGCTGCGATGGGTTGCCTGGTGCTTGTGGTGATTGCGATAGGCTGCCATGGTGCCTAGGCATGATGCTAGGGCTGCGATAGCGCCTAGGCATGATGCTAGGGCTGCGATAGCGCCTAGGCATGATGCTAGGGCTGCGATGGTGCGCCTAGCACACCTAGTGTGCTTAGGCTTGCGCCTAGCCATGCTAGGTGCATGCTAGGTCGAACTAGCCTAGCATCCACATGTTTAGACCATTGTGGTGATATGGCTACACTCATACTTGTCGATTGTGATTTTGCGACGCTCGGTCTCGACTTCCTGGGCTCGATATCCGACGTCTGTATTCGTAAAACTCTGTCTACTCATTAAATCCTTTTGGATTAATTCGTCGTCTTGGATCGGTGATTCGATTGGGTTCGACCAGAAGGGTTCAGTTAAGATTAAGCTGTAACATCAATTGTACATTGATATTACTGATCGGAAGCGGCCTCCACCTAGGCATTCCGATCACTTGACCTTACTGAAGAATTAGCTCCGTTATAATTCTGAACCCTCTATCGGAAGAATACATTTGTTGGAAGGACACCATTCCTTTCATACTGCCCGTACCGTCCAAAGACAAGGGGAGAAAGCGGCAGAATTGTGCCATAATTCTAGGACATCTGATATTGAAGTGGTTGAGTTAGAGGAACTAGAGTTGGAGTACGGTGAGCTTGACTTCTGCTGGTCCTAGCCGAGCTGGTATGCTTGGAGATGGTGTGGTTTGAGAAATTATCCGGCATGATAGGAGTGGAGGCAGTGTCCGAGTAGTGTGCTCGCTCATGCTGCTTATATCTAAGATAATCCCTCGCATCCTTCCAACGTTGGGACGGCTCGGCTGGCTACCTCAGAGGCTGCCCAATCTGCCCTCTAGCCGACTGCGTTTTCTCAAGGAGCCTGGACAAGCTCGTCCGAGGCACCCTTGGTGACCTTGTATGTCGTCGGAATAGGGTATTCCCAGCATCTTCAGCATTGACCGCCTTGCTCTGGTTTTCTTTTGAGCACCTTTTCCTTCTCTTCTGGATGGCTGCCTAGAAGAAAAAGGGATCTTACTCTCAAGCTCCCTTCGAAGCTTGCTCAAAGCGGCCTTCAAGGAACCAGCAATCACCGGAGGATCCTCGGCCTCATGGAATGAAGCGATCTGAGGATCGTTGGTGTTGATTGTAGCAATGAGATTCTCTACATGTCCGTCCTCACCAGGATCGAGTGTTTGACCATCTTTAGCCATTTCAAACGAGTATCCCCACAGACGGCGCCAAATATTTCGGGGTTTTGGAAATCCCTCGGGATACTGGTCTTGAATACGGCCGGATGGACACGAACACCTGCAAATATTCCGGTTGACAGAATATTCGCCTCCGACGATCAAGTTAGTGACCGGAAACGGAATAAATTTAGAGAGAGAAAGTAGTGAGAAGTTGGAGCTTTTAATGCCCTTAGAATAATATGTCTTAATCCCCCCTCCCATCATAAATGATTGGGGTATTTATAGGGGTGGAAAGAGTACCCTCTAGGGTTTGATAACCTAGGATGGCGTGCTCTGATTGGCGAAGTAATCAGGTGAAGGCACGTGGCCATATGGGGCGTCGTTTTGCGGCTTTCTCGGGATTTGGGCCTCCTGATGTAAGGAGGCCCTTTTCTCTCATTTCAAGTGCTTTTATGCTTGACACGTGTCATCTTCTTATAGGGACACGTGTCGCCCTTTAATTGGGCCACGTGTCTCTATGGGATTGGGTCAGGTGTTGGGGTATTTTTTACCCTAAACAGAATGTAGTGAACTATGGTGTTTCACCACATTAAATTTTATGGAATGTATAGATATTTGTTGGTATGATAATTAGTTAGATTCGTATATCTTTGATACCAAAAAAGTTGTTATGGAGACTATCATTGAATTTTCCGTTATTGTTGGTTTACTTTGTTATGTTGCTGGTATTTCATAAAAGGCTGACGAAATAGTACTATAATTCACATTTTCTGAGGCATTGTACTACAAAAGTGGGTGACATTGTACTACAAAAGTGGGTGGCAGAAAGCAAAATTATCTTATTTCTTTCTTTTGGAGTCACGTGACTCTTTTTTCAATTTTATTTTCCTTCTATTTTTTTTACATCTATTTAATTTATAGATTGGTCCTTACTAGAGGCATTAAAATCTCTAGTAGCTAGAGCCTGAGAATCCCCCAATGGTCTTACACAAATGTTTCTCGAGATATTGTGTAGAAAAAAGTCATTGTAAGAAAAAGTGGATAGAGTAAGCATATAGTGAGTGAAAATATGTAAATATTGAGATTTATAAGGTAAGAAATGCAAGATCAAAGGTTGCGAATGCGTCGTGTCGTGCTCATGTTCTAAGATAGACATCTCTAATTGAATTTTTAATCATATTTTGATAGATTTTGTATTATAAACTTGGTAGATGACAACCTAGGTTGAACTGTTTTCACCTTTTTTAATTGTTTAAACCTTCAATTTCATACTCGTGACATTATTTAATTTCTAGATGTTAAAAAATTGGTCTAATTTCTCGATAACTTGAATGCTAGAATAAATAGTCTGACCGTACCTCAACCCTATCGATTTTATTTTTCTTTTTTTTGTCCGCTATTTGCGGGTTAGACACTTTGAGAGTGAGGGGGGAAGGGTAAGAGATCCCCACCCTCAAAATATCTCTAGTGGGGATTAAACCCCAACCTCAAGATTGAAAGGTGCAATTTTTTTTTCACTAGATCGAACTTGGTGTGGATTCAACTATACTTACCGTCTACATTTGTTAGGAATTTATCTTAAACAGTTGTATTACAACCTACTACCGCCCATCAAAAACCAATGGCCAACCTCTAAGACAACCACCCACTCACCGAAATCCACCACATGCCCCATTGAAAAGTGAAAACTACCCCTAAACCTCTACAACAATTAGCCACTGAAACAACTCAACCTTCAAACAAAACTCAATTGGGAATGGATCATCAATAGATTTATCATACACGAGTACTCATATGTACTAGATGGGAGCGTTCAAATGACTTGTATGCCCTTGAGCATGACAATCATATACGTAGACCAATCACTAACTTAAGTGAAAACCATTTGTATTGTAATCAAGAACAACCTAGAGTACTTGAACAAATAACAAGACAAGTTCTTGATGCATGAAAAAGAAGATGAGCTAAGTATTAATGCCACAACCACAGTCTAAGCAAAGAGGGAAGAGGTTGATGCAAGGCAAACACATATATGCATGTGCCATGGCCCATGGGGCAACATCCGATAAATGACCGAGGTCACAGGATCAAGTCTGCTAAGGACACTTACACTTTGTTTGGATAACAAATAAGGAAAGGAAGGGGAGGGAAAGAGGAGGAAGGGAATGGAAAAGAAAGGGAGGGGAAGGTGAGCTTCATTTTCCTTCCAAATCTCTCCAAATTAGGCGGGATTATGCTTATAAATGAATCTCTCCCTCTCCTTTCCATTCCTTCCCCCAATCCTTTACCCAAACAAGAGAGTTTGTTTCCCTTTCTTTCTCTTCTCTTCTTTTCCTTCCATTTCCTTGTATCCAAACAAAGTGTTAATTGGCAGACTTAATTAGGAGGGGATTACTCTAAACAGTAAACAGTATACCCCTGTCCGTACTTGATTTAAATAAAAATGAAAATTAGTCTCAACTGTAAATCTGATTCTTGCAGATGAAAACAGCTAAAAAACAATGCGTATTTTGGCAAGAAAAAGTCTAATTACAATATCAAACATCAATTTCTTTCTCAATATATTCCTTGTTCAAGTGGCAAATTGTACATTTGGTCCAATTATTACCAACAAAACCGTAAAAATATATTTTCACACATTCACCAACCTCCCCCCAATAATAACCCAGCACCACACAAAAAATTGGAACAGTAGATTTCACTACAATAATATTCTGCACAATGAGTTGTAGATCGAAGAATCAAACCAGCTCCTTTAATTCATTCCTGTTAAGTACGAAGGGATGCTCGGGGTACAGAGGGCAAGCCCAGTTCATCCTCAGACTAGAATAGAAAGAGACAATAATTAAGTACAAAAAACACTTCAATTCATTTTTTCCTTTCAATAAAGTTTGATATTAGAGCTCTTAGATAAATTGAAACCCTAACAATACCAGAAATGGACTATTGTGTAGTTACCTGAACATTGGCTCTCCCAGGCACTGCTGCAGAACCAGTAGGAGCTGCTGGCAAGTTGAGCTCTTCCTCGACATCAGGTTCAGACTGAAGGTAAGAAGGAACCCCCTGACTCTCAGATTCCATATCTAATTCCAGTGCATCGAGCTCTGCACAATGATTTAACATATAAGATGATCAGCATAGCAAATTCTTACAACTAACATTTGTTGATAGACATCATTATAAGATAAAAGCTTACCACCCATCAGGTCATCCTCATCAATATCGTCAGGCACATTGTAGCTTCTTCCAAGGGTTTCTTGAATCTCATTACTCATATCCATCAAGTCCATCATATCATCTTGCAGGTTCTACATAACATCAAATCAGTTATCTTCCAAGCAGGACTTAGACTTCCAATAGAACTCAAATATAAAGCAAAAATACAATTGCTTACATCTATTTCTTGAATTTTTACTGTCTTCATCATTCCTTTTAAGTCCTTGTTTGCAGCTTTTAATGCTGACATCTGAAGAGAAACAAAGGGAAAAAGGCATCAGCAGTAATTAAGACGGAAAATTCTTCAATCATATCTAACAAAACCTATATACTACCATGTATCATAAAACAAACATCAGAAGCATACAGCATACAACCACATTCTGACACAGACTAAGTAAATTTGGTTTCATTAGCAATAGTGATCTACCTCCGTGAGGTAGGCAGAATATTCCAAACACGTTACACATAAAGCTGCCCTTCAACTGACTTGAACCATGCCCTGTAAAATACTACCAAGACAAACAGATATTTCCATGATAAATCGTGCAGCCCAGCTTTGCCAATACCAAAAACAGCAGTCCACACAATGTGGGTATGAGATGCATTCCATAATTGGCATCATACATTATAGATACTTATGACAGCTCCTGAAAATATCAGGCTTGATTACCCAAAGGCCCCCGATAACAAAAGAATTTATTCTTTAAGTCCACTCAGAATACACTGATCATTTAAATCATCATTGTAAACTCGTAATATTGATAAGACAAAATACCATCAACAATGAGACTTAAACTTCATGTCTAATGTCATCTGTAACCTTAATAAGGCAAACCAAGTCCAATTAAGAGGAAGTTTCTTAAGATGCAACTGTAACTTCCACAGAAAGTATAAATTCCACAAGCTTTTTACATTTAAGTAACTTGTATTCAGGCAGTACCAGTTGAACCACTTCACTAATGAAACATGAACTTAATAAACGAATGAGACCTTGGTAGCAAGCCAACATAGATAAGATGCAAAAAGCAGTCACTGCAATAAGCAATGTCAGTTCATAATACTCACAGTTTGCTGAGCATCCTTTATACCCTCTGCAGCAAAGGAAACTTGGTCCAGATTGAATGTTTGATTGTAGAGCATATCACGCTGCCCTTCATACCTGTTCACAATCCAGGATCAAGATCTATACATTAGAATGACGTCGCAAAATATGCCACAAAAATCACATAACAAACAAGTAAATGGCGAGTCACTTGCATGCACATATAAATGCAATATTGAGCCCTCAAAACCTCTAACTTAGCACCATCAGTCTAATGGAAGAAAGTCATATTTCCTCCGTTTTATTTTTTATTGCACCATGAGTGATTTCACGCTTGCCAATGCATTACTTTGGCTATTTATATCTTTAATTATACTTTAGTAAAAATTATAAAAAGTAGATTTCAAGACTAATCTAACTAGACCCCACATGGCTATGTTTTACCTTATGGATAAATGACAAAAGATAGTCAAAGAAGATTATGTGAATGGTGTAAAAGTCCTTACAGTGCAATAAACGAAAAACGGAATAAGTATTACGTATATTTAGAAGGGAGATTTCATTGATACTTTGGGAAAGACGTCAGTCATAACAAGAAACAAAAACAACAAAGATGAGCTAACAAAAAGCTAGTCTGACTTAATCATTCATGCTATCACAAAAACATGATGCATATTATAATTCTCAGGGGGTAATAATTCAAAAAAAAGTTAACATAAGAGATTTTCAATTAAGTGATTGAATGATTAAAATGAATTATATCAGCAGGGAATGATTTCCTACACTAAGCAACTGATCACAAAAATCACAAACAAAATCTCAATCCAAAGCAATAAAGATTAGTGCAACTCAACTCATGGGAAGACTGCCAATAATCAAGTAAAACAATGCTAACATACAGTCCTACACAACACATGTAGACTTCCAGCAGTTCCAGGTCTTATAAGATCAAGTATATCAATAGAGGCAGTGGTGTTTATAAGCTAAAGGTAATTTATGCCAATCAAAAAGGGACTCAGAGAATAATAAACCAGATAAAAACCCTGATTTGGATCTCTAGAATATCTGTTATGAGGAATTAAATCAAGAACTAGGCCACCCTAAACAACAATTATAATGAGTCTTTAGCCATCTCTGTCAAAAACAACAATATACCAAGTTTTACCTATCACGTGATGAACCTAATGGGGCCTGAGTTCGTCAGCTCTGAAATCTCACACATAAAGGCTTAAAAAAAAAAAAAAATCATTCTCAACTTACTATTTTTTTGAGTAGGCTAACTTAAAGATTGTAAAATACTTACGTCTATAGCCCTATACAATTATTACGTTATGTCATAGGGTATTTTATTTTATTTATTTTTACTTGGTAGCATTCCTTTCTTCAAAATTCTATTTTTCAAAAATTATCACAACTGATACAGCTTCTCCAAACTAACTAGCAGTGACAGAACGTTGAAGCAGATGGGAGCCCACAACCCAACTTTCTGAACTTCTAATTGTCAACATAATATCTACTTTGAAGAGGCATAGAAAGATGGATGGCACAATGTTAAAACTAATTCAATATACTCAACAGTTCAAAGATTTCGACCATTTCTAAAGAGAAGTTCGACTGAGTGCACCCTGACTTTCCTAGATTTCACCAACATTAAGATTCATGCTAGGTGCTCTACTACTGTAAATGCTGCTGAATTCAATGGAGACAAAGAAATTATTCCAGACTGGCAGATTCCAAACAGAAGTTGGAAACATCATGAATAACAAAACATTAGTCATTTCAGGTCATTCATAAAATAGATCATTGCACTATAATCGTGATAGAATTATGTTCTCAAAGTTGACTTTTAACATAGCGATAACTTGATACAGGTAAAAGTGACTGCTCAAAACAGTAGGAAACAGTTGCACCAAAATGCAACAAAAAACAGTAAGAAGAAAGGACATACATCCGTTTTTGTTTAAGGACCCTCATCGCTCGAGCCTTTACAGCTTCCTGGGCAGGACCAGGCCGTGTCTTTTTGATTTGTTCTTTGTATCTAGCTAATTCAGCATCAAGCTTTTTAATCTTGTCATCAACATTTTCCCCTCTTTTGTTGATCTAGCACCATGCAAAATAAATACATCAAGGTGACGATACAAATAATCATAATATGGTTATGCGTTTATTCAGACAAGTAACCACAAAATAAGCACAAGAACCCACGTGATGCTCATGACACATTATAAACTGATAAACTGCAGGTTGACAAAAGTTAACCAACATGTAAAGCAATAAACTAGATACATATAAATGATCTTCAGTAACTTCTAAGCTTAAAAAAAGTCTAATTAACAGAAGCTTGCTTCATGTAGTCCTAAAACCAGTATGAACTAACAACTGCTAACATTTGGGATGTGCTTGCTCCTTAGAAGAGTTCTTGGGTTTTGAGGAAAATCCTTAAATGTAGGGAATTTATTGATCAGATTGGTGGATGGGATAAAGTTCAATATGGGGGGAAAATGAAAATTAGGAAGGTTTATGATCTCCTTAGATTCCAATCCCCCAAAGTTAGTTGGAAGAGAGTAATTTGTAATAACAAAGCCTCTCCCAAAAGTCTTTTCATCCTTTGGCTTGCAATCTGAAATCGGTTATTGACTAAAGATAGATTGATGAGGTGGACCCTGAATTGTGACCCTAGTTGCTTGTTGTGCCTGCAAGCGCCTGAAAACACTCCTCATCTCTTCTTTGAATGTAGTTACTCCCGGAGAATTTGGCAAAAGGTCTTGGATCTTCTAAGATGTAGGAAAGTAGTCCAGAACCTTGATTTGGAAGTTGAGTGGGCAACCCACCATTGTAGGAAATCTAAACCTAGTGGCCGGTTACATTTAAAGTTCCTGGCTGAAGCGGTTTACAGTATTTGGTGGCAAAGGAATACAACTATATTTCAAGGCAAATGTGATAGAAGTTGTCTTTAAAGAAATTGTTTTCAAAGTTGCTTGTCGATGTTTGGAGGATGATCGGAAGCTACTTATGATTTCTAATTGAGCTTTTGGGTTGTTTTGTCTATGTTTTGGTTGTTACTGTTTGCTGCTTCTCTTGATGTCTTTCTGGCTACTGCTGCCTGTTTTGCAATTCTGGCTGGTGCATTTGCTCCTTGTTGTTGGTGTTGCCTACTGTGTCGCAACTGATTCTGGGGCTGCTGGTGGGGTGCTACTGCTGTGATGGTTTCCTGCTGCTGCTAGTTTCGCAGGCTGCTACAGCATGCTCCCCTTCTTGCTGGTCTGTGTTGATACTGCAGCTTGGCTGCTGTCCTTTCATTGCTGCTGGGTGCTACTTGGGGCTGCTGCCTTGGTTCAGCTTGCTGGGTTTAAGTGCATAGGTTGTTTTTTTTTGCTGTTCTTGGTTTTATTGCTGGTTTTTGTCCTGTTCCTTTGGTCGGGGGTGCCCCTCCTAGAGAGTAGCCCTCTTCCTTTGAGTTCAGGGAGCCTTGTTTTTGGTCTGTGTCCCAAAGGAACCCTTCCTAGAAGGTGGCTTTTGGTTCCCGGACCTCTGGCTTGTGTTTTGTTGCTCTTGGACTTGTAGTCTTTGGTGGGCGGTTTTCGCCTTGTGGCCTTGTGGGCTTGTACTTTTATTGCCGTTTTGGCTTTTCCTTATGGTAATGTTATTTCTTTTTACCAAAAAAAAAAAAAAAAAAAAAAAAAAAAAAAAAACAAAACTAACAACTGCTAAAGCTTACTTTATTTTCAGAATTACCCTTTTATAATGAGCTAAGATTATGGCTTGTTTAATACGAATGATAACTGTAACACGTTTTAACACGAAAACTAGCTTCCTTATTTCCTTAATATCATAGGCAATAAGGATGATCCAAAATCATGGAGCTTCATGCATAATATATTGTAAACTCTAGGAAGAAAATATATCATGTTCAAACCAGGTTTCATGATCCCATAGTTTTTTCTTTAACCTTTTCGGGTTGGGGCATTCATCAAAATCCTCGGTAGATAGATTTATAAAGCTTAAAACAGCTCAATTCATTCTTCCAATATTAATTTCTATCTCCAGCCCTCTTGAGTTGAAAAGCACGCAATGTTTCCATAATATTAGCACTAAAATTTGACCACACAATAAAATTAAGAACAGATTTTGACATAATTTTCTCAAATTAAATCAATCAAACCTTACATTGAGATCAAAAAATATAGAGATAACCAAATTAAAGCTAAATTCCATTACAATCAATTCATAAAAACATTAAAACAAAATCCCAAACCCTAATTCAATTTCAATGTATATAGAAAAAATTCGACAAAATTAGCAAAGATACACTTCAAAAAATTCACGAAATCAATATCAAATTAAAAAGAATACCCGATTAGAAGCATCTGAAACTGAAGGAGGAGGATCTTTTTGTTTCTTAGCACCGAAGATTCGTTGCATCGTAAATTCTCTGAATCTCTTTCTACTGCTGCCGCTGATGTTTGCTAATTATGGCTGAATTTACGATGTTTTTCTTTGAAATTTGAATTGAAATAGTCTTAATTGAGAATTTAAATAGTAGAATTTGTCAATTAAAAATTCAAACGCCAAAATAAAAAAAAATAAAAAAAAAGACAAAGGAGAAGTATATGTGAATTTTCGATGAAATGTTGGATAGATTGGGTGACCTGCGCTAGGGTGGAATGACGAAAGTGATAGAAAGTTCTAAGAAATTTCGATAGACGACCCTACAAAATTTAATCAATGTCAATCTAATGTTAAAATATGTACTCTACATCGTATTTACTCCGTATTTATGTAATGCCTCAAATTAACTACTCCATTTGTTTAATCATTATTTTTTTACACAAAACAAAAGCTCAGGGCTTGTTTGATATTGTTTTTTATTTTTTACTTTTTCTTTTTTTAAAAACAAAAAACTGGAAACAAGAAAAAAGTGTTTCCACTTTTCTATTGTCAGTTTCAAAATTATCACGATATTAATAAGTTTGACTAATTTTTTATTCATTATATGGCATATATCTTGATTTTGAAAAACAAAAAACCGCGGCGATGTCAAACGATTCCTCAGCATTTAATTAAAGCATTAAGTTTGCAAGATCGTTACACATAGCCCCTTGTAATTCAAGAGGGTATTCTTCTAAGTGTTCTAACCAAACACGACACTCATTGAAATTGCAACTTTAACTAGCCAAGCTATGCGCTACTACATTACCCACATGTTTCGGGGTTTTCTGTGTCCCTCGAGAGAGTTACGTCACTAAGACTGGATTCCGGGCGCCTGTACCTGTAAAACAACGGAGACTCCGATTGGGTGGAGTTCCGCCTCCGACGATCAAGTTAGAACGTGTACGGAGAATGTAAAAAAGTGCGAAAGTAAAGTGGGATCTTCTCGGATTTCGAGATCAGGTGTTTTTTCTCTGTTTTCGAGAGAATTCGGTGTATTCAATGATTGAATTAATAGTTTTTCACAAGGTGGGGTAAATCTCCCTATTTATAGGGTCATTGGGATTCGCACCCCCGTACTAGGTTACGGAAACCTAGGACTTATGGGCTGCGCTATTTTTCGGGCAGTTTAGAGAATTGGGCCTTGTAGGCTGCCAATTCCACATGGGCTATCGGCTTGCCACGTGTCTAGCCCTGGTAGGTCCACTTTGGGCTTTCCTTAGAGTGACACGTGTCAAGCTCTGATTGGTCCACGTGGTGGGGTAAAAATACCCAAATCATTCTTGGCTGGAGTTAGCGAGAGAGTCTCTCTCCGTAGAAATGAGCGAGGGATGGGCCGAGCCTTCTGCTCATCGCCGAGAACAATTTGCTTCTTATTACCACCATGTTCCCGTAGGCAGGCAGAAGACTATGGCTGGCAAGCTGGGAAATTCAGAGCTGACCATGTCATGGGTTATGGCTTTATTATAAGTGTCCCGGACGCTGAGGACATTGTAGTCTGGCCAGAAGGGTCAATCTACGGGGACGGATGCTTTGGCTGTTATGAGGTGGCCATTCAAGCTGGTCTTAGATTCCCTCTCCATTCGGTAGTGGAGAAAATTTTAGATGGATACTAGCTGGGTATCTGGCAACTTGCCTCCAACTCTTGGGCGAACATTCTGGGGTTTGTTGCCGCATGTGAGATGCTGGAGGTAGAGCCAAGTTTTGAGGCCTTTGCCCATATGCACTATCTCAGCCGGATCCCGAAAGCAAGCGAATCCGAATGGTACACCCTTTCAAGCCACAAAGGCTTTATGATGACTGTTGGGAAGGAGTCCAAGTGGAAGGGCTGGAGAAGCAAGTTTTACATCATCTCCTCCCCTAACCAGATGAAGAACAAAAAATATAACTGGTGGAACCGGAACCCCCCTTTGCTATCAAAGTGACCATTCGGTCTAATGAGGAGACTGGGGAGAATGAGGTCATTCCTCAAAGCTACATTCCTCGCCATGATTGGCTGGCTGATGGGAATTATCTGGCCGCCTGCAGCTTGAGTGTTGAGAGGCCAAGAGGTAGACGACCAAATGTGCTTAGACTTTCAGTAAGACTTGATTTTTTTGTTCATCTTACTAACCACTTACAACTTATGCAGACAAAGCAATGGAAAAACTTTCGGCCTCCAAGAAGTCGGCGACCCACTCCGCCACCTACTACCGCTCCCTTTTAGGCAAGTGGAAGAGTGAGGATCCGAATGAAGCAAAAACGCCCAAGGTGAGTCATACTCTTTAATTGGATAGATTGGATTTGTTTTTCCGACCTACTTTTTACTCATTCTGGTTTATGTGCAGGGCGATTCATCCAAACCTTCTCCCTCTTCTCAACCGGACCCGAAGCTTCAAAAGCAGTCGGCCGGCGATGTGAAGACTCCTGGCAAGCCCAGGAAACATGTTGCCCTTAAGCTTAGAAGGACCCACCCCCCGACAGCGGGAAAATCAGAAGCAGGCCTTGAGGCCTCACAAAAGTCGGACTCTTATAAAGCGTCGAAGAGTGGCAAGGGTCCACTCGATGCTGCTGTCGGCTTAGCGGCTGGGGGAAGTAGGCCCCCTAAGGACCGGGAGGCGGCTGGTGGAAGCAAGGTCCCAAGGGAGAAGGCGACCGCCGAAGGTATTACAAGTTTTAATCCCTTGCCCTACCCTTGTAGGGTCAAGTTTAATCAACAGTCGACCAGCACTCCTGAAGACAGCCGGTCTATAGGCCGAATCACTACAAGAAAACAGCTGGATTCCGACAGAATTTTTCCGTCGGAAACATCGAAAAATCCGTCGGAAAACGGCCTTCCGACGGAATTCCGTCGGAATCAGTCTGTCGCAACAGCCTTTGTAGGAAATTCGACGTTTTCCGAGGGAAATTCCGTAGAAACCACTTTTCCGACGGAATCCATTCTGTCGGAGCTCGTTTTGACTTTAAATGTAAATCCATCGCAATTTTCCATTAGAAATTTCCGTCGGAGTTGGAGATGTTTCCGACGGAAATTTCCGTCGAAAGAGGTATATTCCGACGGAATTTTCTGTCGAAAAATTCAATAAAAAAACAAAAAAAAAAAACGCCTCCACCACCCCCACCACCAGCGTGACACCACCAACCCACCCACCCAGACCACCCCCTACCACCACCACACCCACGTACTTCACCCACCCCACCTAATCCTAACCAAACCACCCCCAGCCAGACCACCCCCACCAACCACCCTAAACTAAATCCACCCACCCAGACCACCCCCACCTAGACGACCCACCCAGCACACCCACCCAGACCACCCCCTGCCACCACCACACCCACGTACTTCACCCACCCCACCTAACCTTAACCAAACCACCCTAAGCCAGACCACCCCCACCCACCATCACACCCACAAACCGAACCCCTCCACCTAACCCTAACCAAACCGAACACCCTAACTCAGCAGGACCAACAAAGCACCGATTTCAATTATAATTCAATTATAAACAAATCGAACCCCCCCACCTAACCCTAACCAAACCACCCTAAGCCAGACCACCCCCACCCACCATCACACCCACAAACAAAACACCCCCATCTAACCCTAACCAAACCACCCCCACCACCACCCACCACTACCCTACCCAGCCAAAACCCTAACCCTCCCGGAAAAAACGAAAAAAAAATACCAACAAAACAATTATAATCAAAATTCACCGAATTCGTACAAAAAAAACAAAAATTACAAACACAAAAACATACCTTCAAACTTGAATTGAGTTCGAGCTTGGTTTATTAAGGCCAAATTTGACCATGAAAAGTCTAGATCTACACTTTTCATGGTCAAATTTAACCAAAAAAAACCATTACACCGTAGACGAAGGAGAAGGGGCGAGAAAGGAGAAAGGGGAAGGAGAAAAGGGGCGAGGAAGGAGAAAGGGGAAGGAGAACATGGGCAAGGAAGGAGGCGAGGAAGGAGAAAGGGGAAGAAGAAAAGGGCGAGGAAGGAGGAAGAGGCGAGGAAGGAGAAAGGGGAAGCAGAAAAGGGGCGAGGAAGGAGAAAGGGCGAGGAAGGAGAAAGGAAGAGAAGGAGGAGGAGAGAGAAATAAAAGAAAGAGGAGGAAAGAGAAAGCGAAAATCTAAAGGAGAAGAGGCGGAGGAATGAGGGGAGTAGGAGGGTTTTTTTTTTATATAAACATATTCCGACGGATTTTCATTCCGTCGGAAGTTAACTTTCCAGCGGAATATTCCATCAGAAGTTTCCGACGGATTTAATTTCTGTCAGAAATTTAATGTTTCGACGGAATATTCCGTCGGAAATTTCCGACGGATTTTATTTCCGTCGGAATATTAATTTTCCGAGGAATATTCCGTCGGAAAACCCATAAATTTCGACGGAAATTTCCGACGATTTATAAATCCTTCGGAATATATAGGATTTCCGACGGAATTTTGTGTCCGTCAGAAGATGTCTGTCGGAATCCATCCTATTTCTTGTAGTGAATTTACGTCAACTACTTACAAAGTTTTGAATGTGCAGATGTCCCCCAAAGGCCGGATATTCAACAGCTGGCGAAGACCATGCTGAGGGTCATCTCCCTCGAGGACAGGGAGTCTGTCAGAGGAGTCGGCACCCTCAACCTTGATGTCATCCTTGCCTTCCTCGCTGAGGTGCAGTAACTTATTATTTGTCTTTTTTGTTCTACTCTTCAAGCCACTTGGTATCAATGTTTTGCCCCTTTGCCGGATGCAGGCTATGCTACGGGTGAACGTCCTTAAAAAAAACAATTCAATGAGAAGACCAAAGAGGTAAAAGTTGTGCACGCTCGGGTTGCCTTTTCTCTATATACGACCTTGTTTGAGATTTCTCAAAATGAACTACTGACCACTGATATACTATATTCTCAGGCGGCTGCCAATCTGCAGGTGAAGACCAATCTGGACGCAGCGAAGAGGCAGATCTCCGAGTTGGAGAAGGAGGTTAAGGACCTCAAGGCCAAGCTCGAGCCCCTCTA